TTCTTCACATGTAAGAATGCAAAAATGCCTCAAGAAAGAACTCTGAAAAACTTCACAAAACTTGCACGCTTCTTTCTTAAAAAACTCTTTATTGATTGCTTGTTTGATTACTCAAAGGTGTGTTTTAAAACGTTGAATCAAATATATTTATATAGAGACATTTTCCAACTAATGGGTTTAATTAATCAATTAAAACTTCTTTTAATTAATTATTAACTCTTGATTAATCGATTAAATTTCTTTTAATCGGTTAAAATGTGCTTCATTATTTTTCAGGTTTATTTTAATTGATACGACTATGTTTTAATCGATTAAAACAGTTATACAAAAACTCCCTAAGTTATTTTAATCGATTGATTCGCGGTTTAATCGATTATAATTTTGCCAAATAATTTCTCAAAACTTCATAAGTGATTTTAACTGATAAAATCATATTTTAATCGATTAAAAAACTTAACAAAAACTCCCTTAAGTTGATTTAATCGATTAATTCGATGTTTTATCAATTAAAATACTACTAGAGTACTTTTCAAAATATCTCAAATGATTTTAATCAATTAATTCAAAGTTACATCGATTAATATACTGACAGATCACTTTTCAAAACATTTCAAGTGATTTTAATCGATTAATTTGAAGTTACATCGATTAAAATACCTGACAGATCATTTTTCAAAACATCTCAAGTGATTTTAATCGATTAATTTGATATTACATCGAATAAAATACTGACAGAACACTTTCAAAAACTTCTTAAGTGATTTTAATCGATTAATTCAAAATTATATCAGTTAAAATACTGACAGTAAGATTTTCAAATACTTCTTTATTGAAAATAATCGATTAAAACAGCGCAAGTGTATGTTTTAAATGATTTTAATCAATTATTTTGAAAATACGTCGGTTAAAACTTTGTCAGGAATGTTTCTAACTGATTTTAATCAATTAATCTTTAAGTATATCAATTAAATCTTAGTCTTAATAACATATTAATCGATTAAATTGGTTTTTAACAGATTAAAATGTTTAGAGGCATTTTCAAATTCTTTCAAATGATGAAACTTCATGTAACAGAGAAGAATGAATGATTATATCTATTAATGTTGATGCAAACTCACTAATCATTACACTCTTTAACCCAAGTAGTTTTTGACTTCATCAAATCCTCAAGATGTTCTATCATAAGATTTAATAAGATCTTCATCACTTTCGAAATTGAGTAAGATACTTCTTAGAATTTGATCCATTTATTGATTTGGTATTAATCATTTTCGCCAAAAAAAAATTATTGTAATTTTCTAAAGTGATTTAAGAATAAACATGTTCAACATTCTAATATCCACATAACTTTAATGACTAAATTGTTTTATACAATTGTATCATATTGATTCATTCTTAATTGATTGCGATCAACCGTAATATTTTAGCTTAATCAATCAATTTAATTTATATGAGATTGTACTATCCATTAATCTAGTTAAAGTGATGTTTTAACTTATTCAATTCAATTATTATGATTATGAGATCATGCTAATAATTTATCCCTCGTTAATTATGATCCATTAAAAAATAATATATTTGACTTTTGAGAATAGTAATGTCACTCTTAATTAATTAATATATATATCATAAGAAATTTTTTTATCTATGGTATTATGTATAGGAACGAGATAATTTGATTTTATGTCCATTATGATAATATCATTAGGTTCAATTTTTATGTTTGAGGTAATTTCTGTCTTGGATCTCATGTTTGTCACAATTTGTCCTTAAAATGCGTCTTAGTAAGTTAAAAAAGAAGAATGTATATAAACTATCTTTGATATTTACTCTTAAGCGATATGAAACTCTGAACATAAACCCCAAAGTTGAAAACTAAGGATTATGAATGGAACGATATTCTATTATCTAAAATAATATATTTTTAGATAATAAAAATACAATGATCTATCCCTTTATTGTATAAGCACTAGGACATATTGTTAATAAGATATTTTGGTGACTTAAATTAATAAAATTCACATATATGAGGCCATATCAATTGAATAGACTTGAACAAAAACAAATTACCAATTTGATATTCTAATGACAAATTGCATGGAAACAACCAAAGAAATCATGATTCATATCACATTACCTATTCCTTAGCCTCAAAATATGCCATGACAATGACTTGTTTTTTTGTTTACCTTTTTGCTACGACAAAATCAAAATGCCTTGACTATTAGTTCCTATAGACCACAAAATTATATAACACTTATCTTGTTAAAATAACAATATTTTGAATTTCCTTCCCTCCAAAATTATGGAAAATCTGAAATATGATGATATGTGGGAGAACTTATTTGAACAATATTTTAAAGATGGAAGATTAGTTTGCCATGTTTATTCTGAATGGGATAATGAGAATGATTGCAATATAATGATTATTTATGACCAACTAAAGGAAAAGGGTGTTCATTCACCCTAAAATATTTAGATTTTTTTTATATAGTATATTAATTTAGAAACTTAACTTTTAATTTACTTAACTACCTTAATTATCATATTATACTTACCATTTATTGGTATTTTAAAAAGTGTAGTATTTTTTTTAAAATGTAAAATCTATATCAAAGTTTGAAGTTTTTTAGGGTTAATATTGTCTTTATATAGAGTGTCATTGTATTTATCTAGCTGTCAAAATAACTATCTAACCCTATATTTTAAAACGGAAAAAAAATTAACATAGACCCAATATTAATCCAACAAACTAACGGATTAATTTTGATCTAATTGAAATTAAAAAAAGTAACAAATTTATACAAAATCAATTAATTAAAAAATATTTAAATAAAAATATAAATATAAATATATAAAGATATTTTGAAAATTTAAATTAATTTTTATTTAAGATATAATGATTTAATATATAAATTAGATGAAAATGCCTCAATTTAATCTCAAAATAAGAATAAAAAATTATTCTTTATTATTATTATTATTTATTTTAATAATTTATTAATTTAAAATAATAATTAATCTTAATAATTAGAAATTGATTCTGATATTTACTTTTAGACTAATCGGATTCTTGTCAAATTAATTTATAATACATATATAATTTTTTAATAAAATAATTTAAACTTTATTTTTATTTAAAAAATAATTATTATTTTATAAAATAGATTAACTCATAAGTCTACGTATTAGTCTGACTTAAATAAACAAGACCAGAATAGGTCTGATTTAATTTAGATCACAAATATTTTGGTCAAGTTTGACTTGTTTCTCAGACGTATCCGATCGGCCAATCAAGCTAAGTCTATTTAAACACCCCTATTTATTGATTATTAACTTTTATTATAAAATTTAATTGACTATTTTTTATTTTTTTTGTTGAATTACGTTTATTTTATTCACAACATTCAAAATTAAAGTTAACATTTTGGGATATTTTTCATTATAATTTGCAAAAAGTACAACTAATATTTAATTTTAAAAATTACTTTTGTTTTTCTACTATGTTTAGTTTCAAAATAAACTCACTTTTTCGTATCAAAATTAGTTTTATAAGGTGTTGAAAATACTAACAACCTTTGTTGTAAGAGTGATACTAAGGGTGATGACTGAAATTGTAGCAAAATTAATAATAAAAACAATTATAGTAGTAAAAAAACTAATATCTTTTTGACAACCAACTCAAATGGACCATAAAGAATTTGTCTTAAAATTTATTTTAGTTTAATTTACAAAATCAGCTTATAATGAAATTTCTCATCCAGTTATAGTATTTAGTTTGACCATAGAACTAGATGACATGAATTTCCAAATACCAGAATTCAATTCCATTAAAATAACATAATCATGTTTAATTAATTTTCAATTTAGAAGTGTTGGATTGATGAAGAATGGATATTAACAAAGTAATTAAGGGTAAGTAGATTCACATCCACAAATAAAATATTTGAAAGAAAATATCCCGTAGATTTGTATATTCTCTATTGACTTTGAATATGTGTGATGTGGTATAGCAGTAAAGGAGGTGAAACTTCTTATCTGTTTCTTTATCTTATAGCATCCTCGTTCACAAATGTATCTATCAACAGGGTCCAGTCTAAACATTAATGCACCCTAAAAGGTGTTGAGATAAGCTACCTATCACTACTCGCAAGTTAGAGCCTCAAAATGATTGTTTGATTTATCAGTTGCTAATCCATAACTACAAACAAAACATAGGCAAAAGAATCAGATTGAGATTAATCTGAGCTGTGTATCAGACTCTACAATGCTAGAAAAAATGTACTATTGGGTAGAACCAGAACATGACTAAATCTGATTGTGTTTTTCTGTCATATTCAATATCATAATTTGAAGTTGTAGTAGGGAGAACCAGAATGGCATAAACAAAATTGTTAGTGGCACTTGGTGGTTTTTGGTTGGGAAAAATAGTTTCTGAAACCAACAAAAATTTGGATTTGATATTTCTTTCTAAATTTGAATTTGGTAGTTGGTGGCTGGTTGCTGGTTGCTATATCCTATACAAAATATCTGAGATTCCAAGAATTATGGGGTTCATATTTGGTTTTGAAAGTTCAGTAGCTTACTAGCAACATGTTCTTAAATTAAGTCATGAACTTCATTATTTGGAGGACCAGAGAATAAAGAACATTCATACATCAGATGTGTGAGAAAGTTAGGCCAAACTAAACTATGTTGCGTACTTGAATGACTCAGAAAGAGTTCCATTGTTAAACATCATTTAGTACATTATTAACTTAGAAAAGATTAATTTCAACCCTATAGAGGGAAATGCAAGGATAATGGGTTGTTGAAGTTATTTTGGAACAAAGCAACACAACACAGCAACTTATTCATTAGTTCTCATCCATTCATTTCCAATGAAGTCCGAAAACAGAAACCAAAATTACAGGATGATGAAATCTCAAAAAGCAAAAACAAATGGGAATTTGATTTAAGTACAAACAAACAAAGTGGAGTGGCTACAAATTTTTGAGGACTTAGTAGCCTGGTGGCTTGTAGGCAATGAAACTGATGCACTGCACTTGACGATAGTTGTCAAATCCAATGATACGGATGAAACCATTGGGGTGTTTAGTCTTGGCCTCTTGAAGCTCCTTCAACACCTGAGTAGCATCAGTGCACCCAAACATAGGTAGCTTCCACATGGTCCAGTACCTTCCATCATAGTATCCGGGTGACCTGTTGTTCTCACGGTACACGAAACCGTGCTATAAACAAAAACACACACCAAACAAATCAACCATCAGAACTCAAAGCCACGTGCTTCTTTTGCAAAACAAATCACTTGTTTTTGTTACAAAAACTGCTTTTAGCAGACTTAGCAAAGTGAGAATAAGTGAAAGTAAGCAAAAGGGTTGCAAGAAATTGACCTCCAACTCGAATTCCAAGCAAGGAATCCATCCATTCCTCAGAAGGTATTCTACTTGCTTTGCCAATTGGGGCTCAGTGAGGTCTGGCAGGTAGGAAAGAGTCTCGAACTTCTTCAGGCCAACTGTTGGCCACACCTACTCATTTGCATCATAATTGAGTTAAGGAATTAATAATATGCTTAGAACTAACATCTTAATTTAAGTAACCTTTTGGAACATAAATATGTGACATAATTCCAATGTATATATGTTTGGAGTTGTCTTACCTCCATGCATTGCACTCTTCCACCGTTGTTTCCAGCAGAAGTGATGTCATTGTTGGTCTTCCTGGTTGGGAAGCCAGCCAAGGACTTGAGGCCAGTGTATGGAGCCACCATGCCGGCACCGGCACCGGCACGGTTAACGATGGTAACAGCTGGGGAGGAGATCATTGAAGAAGCCATTTCCTTCTCCTTCTTAGTTCTGAATTACTTGTTCTTCTGCTGCTAGATGGTCAAGATTCTGCTCATACTTGCTATATATAATAGTGTGATTTGTGTAGTACTAATCCAATGGTGTGAGATGGAGGGGATTGGTTGCTGAGATGTTACAACCGTTGGATTGTATAAGTGGTGACATTACAACATATTGGCCACAAGAGTGAGGAAAATTTTGAATGGTAGCCTTATCGTTAGGTACCATGTGGAAGTGACACGTGGAGAAGGCTTCATTATCTTATCTTCTCTTTGGAAGAACGTAAATGTGTGATGGTGGTGGAGTTGATATCATTTGTGAAATAGTTTGCACCCTCGTTCCATATTTACCTAACATATTTTGTGACCATATGGGTTAAGTGAACACCCCTTTGTCCCTTTGTCACAGTAATGTTTTATATTTTGAAGTTGATTTTTGTATTGGAAAAAAAGAAAACAAGAGAACCATATCAACTGACACTCTTATCCCCTTTGTTGGATAGCTGGAAACATGCTTCTCTCTTCACCTTACATTGGCCAATCCTTATAATATTACTAAAAATGTTTCATTAGTTTATGTTATTGGTTAGACTTGTTTAAGAGTAACAAAAGCAATGTAGATAAGCAAAATGTGTATATGGTATAGAAGTGGTGGGAGATGATGGGGCTTATCATGGTTGGTTGATTAATGACCAAGCATACATTTTCATAAGATAATATCCACAAATTGCTATGGTCATCAGTAAATCCATGCATTCAACCAAACAATTCATAACAACCTTATATTAAAAGCATGAGATAACAACTATAAAGCACAAAAACAAAGGTATTACATGAAGTTCTCAGAATGTGATTGTCATAATTTAGTCTGGCAAAATATGACAAAAGCCACTGCCAATAAAATAAATAGACGGTATGGAAGTTCATGACTCTGCAAAACTGATAGATTTAGATGAAATTGGTTGATTGTTGAGAATTACACCTCTGGAAACTGTAAAATTCTCAGTTTTGTATAGCAGTTTATTTACAAGATGTTATAGTTCCATTGTATTTTCAAAGAATTTTAGCTCAGTTATTCTTGCAAGGAGGCTTGTTACTCTTTCTTCTAAGCAACATCCTTGTCTGGTTTGTAATGATTTTTCTCATTCATATCCCCACGAATCGAAAACAAAAATCTACATGATTTTACTACCATAATTCCAACTCAGTTAATGGTTCAAAATTAAAAAAACAAAAACATACTTTGAAGAAGTGTAAGGCATCAGGGAATATATCAAAACGAACCATTGGGCTCATAGCATGATTTTTATGCAGAAAATATCAACAGAATACAATTTTCCAATTTACTAACACAACACCCTATATGAATTCTTCATTGTTGCACACTCAATTTGTATCTCTTAATCAGTCGTTCCCATTTCAAATCATCTAAACACTCCTTCCAGTACCACTTCTCAGTCTACATTATTCTTTATTCAAGCCAAACCATTGAAATCTTGTAATGGAACCAACACTTGAGTTATCCACTCTGTAATAAAGCAAATAGTTTATAGTTTTTTTCACTCTACTCTTTTACTACAAATTCTAAATATCCCTTCTTGAGCTACTAATTCCTCTTTAGCTTCTGAAACAATATCCTTTTCAACCTGTGGCAAAAAAGTCATCTTTCAAAATGAAGTTCCAAAAGATGAACTTTCAACTTAGTACATGTCCCAAAATGAACTTAATTAGTGTGCTTCATAATAGATTCCTCTGAAAATGCTGAACAGTGAGGTTTCACCATTCTGTTGCCTTCTTCTATTCAGCAATACACAGTTTATTAGTGAAGACATGTCAATAGTTTAGATCTGTAAATTGGGTTTGAAGGATCACAATTTGACATGTGAAGATGCCAATTATTCTCTGATTACATGGGAAATTGATACTAGCAATACTATTATCCAACCTGACTTCAGCACTGAATCTTATCCAACTGATATCTGACACATTTTGTTACATAGCTTTGGATAAAAGTATAGGGACAATGTGATGCATATATTATAGAACAAATAAGGATAGGGATGGAAAAGTATAGATAAAGTCAAATAAAAACTATATTATTATATTCAAGTTATGATAACGATTCTTCCTTATTTAAAGATAAGGATTAATCATGATTTATATATTATAACTTTTTTTATGGATATAAGATGTTTTACAACAGTATCCAACACAAGTATAATATATATCAGAGGAAAAGAAATAAATAATCAGAATTCTGCAGATACAGATGCCACCTTGCTTTTACTTTGGAAGTTAACAACAGAAAGTTATAAATTTAAGATAGAACATAGAAATTAAAATCCATCCAACAGATTTCACATTTAAATTGCTTCTAACAGTGCTGCTTGTGACAAGAATTATTAACAGAGGGTGAGAGATCACATGTTTGGATGCCACAAAATCTGATAATGTACTTACCTATAGAAAGATCCAGAGAATAAGATGCATCAATGAGTGCAAGTGGGGATGAGCAGAACAAAACAAGATAAAAGTAGTGGAAAAGGCAAAAGAAAAAAAGTGGTTACAGAATGATAAGATGTTAGACAAATTTTTAGCACCAACGTTTTATAAAACAGTTCTGTGCCTTTTTCTATTGAATAACCCTCTAGCCAAATACATAAGTTGGAGGGGATAAATAGTGTTGGGAATATTACTTTATTATCTTTTATTTAAATTAGGTATTAAGATATTTTATTATAGAGAAAAGGTAAAAAGATATTAGATTATTATTTTGATTTAGTAATTATGATTAAGATATTATTGATATTTGATATTTTGTAATATTTTTACTCTATATATACATAAAGGACATGAATAAAAATATAACACACATGATATATCAGAAATACATATACACAAAACCCTAAAAATTTTCAACAAATTGGTATTAGAGCCTTGGTTCGATACAATGGAAGAAAAAAAAAACTTTTCAGAAGTCGCTATTACAATTTTTTATGGCGAAAGTTATGACTTATGGGCTGTGAGAATGCAATCCTATCTTAAAGGATTGGATGTATGAGAAGTTGTAGAAGAAGATTATATTGTTGATCCACTACCTGAAAACAAGGAAGGAAAAAGTTAAATCATGTTTGTTTGCTAGTATTTCACAAATGATCCTCACCAGAATCATGACGCTAAAGTCTCCCAAAAAAATTTGGGATTATTTGAAAGATCAATATGAAGAAGATAAGAAAATTCGAGTTATGAAAGTTCTAAACTTGATAAGGGAATTTGAGATACAAAAGATGCAAGAGTCTCAAACAATTAATGAATACTCAAACAAATTGTTGGGTATTACTAACAAAATAAAAATGTTAGGCAAGGAATTTTTTGATTCCAAAATAGTTGAGAAAATTTTGGTAACTGTGTCAGAGAGATATGAAACATCTATTGCTTCATGGAAAATACAAAGGATTTGTCTAATATTATTGTGGCAGAAATGCTACATGTTTTACAAGCGCATGAGCAACGAAGATTGATGAGAGGAAATCATACTGCTGGTGAAGGTTCTTTACTATATCATGATGGAGATTCTCTCCAAGCCAAGAACAACAAAGGTATAAAATCATGAGTTTTTTCTGTTTGTCCTTATTGCAAGAAAAATAATCACACACCCAATAAGTATTGGTGAAGGCCTGATGTGAGATGTCGCAAATGTGGTCAATTGGGACATATAGAAAAGATAATCAAATCACAACCAGAGGAAGTCCTTCAAGTTATAGAGGACAGAGTAAAAGAGGTACTTCTCTTTGCATCAACATGCTCTATAATAAAAAATTTCACAGGTTGGCTTATAGACATTGGTTATACAAACCACATGACTCATGATCGAGAACTTTTCAATTCAACAAATCATATATTTCTAAAGTGAGAAATGGTAATGGAGAACAAATAGATGTGAAAGGTACAGGAACAATTGTAGTTAAAAGTCATTCGGGTATTAAATTAATTTTTGATGTTTTATATGTTCCTGATATTAATCATAATTTGTTAAGTGTTACTCAATTATTGAAGAAAAGTTATAAGGTGTCTTTTGAACATAAACTTTGTGTGATTAAAGATACAAATAACTTGGAAATATTCAAAGTTCACATGAAAGGAAAAAGTTTCACTTTAGATTTGATGAGAGAAGAGTTGATTACAAACGAAGATATAAAAGAAAAGTCAAACAAAAATAATGAAGAAGATTTCTTGAAAGAACTTGATGTTAAGGAGAAAAATAAATATGCAGATGAAGAAATTATTTTCAACGTTCATCAAAGAGTCAACTATACTACCATGAAGTTTGAAAGAAACAAAGGAGAGAAAGTTGATAAAGGAAGTAATATTTTGATGAAGAAAAATGAAGTTGAACGAAGATGTGATCCCACACAAAAAGGAAGATGACAAAAAATACAAACGAAAAAGGAGAAAAAATTATAAGCAAAATAAAAGAAAGAATATCAAATTCAAATAAATAAATATTAAAGTAGGAAAAAAGGTTAGAAATATTATTTTATTATCTTTTATTTAAATTAGGTATTAAGATATTTTATTATCTTTTAAGATAGAAGGTAAAAAGATATTAGATTATTATTTTGATTTAGACAATTATGATTGAGATATCATTGATATTTGATATTTTGTAATATTTTTAGTCAGTATATATATAGAATACATGAATAAAAATATAACTCACGTTATATATCAGAAATATATATAAATAAAACCCTAAAAATTCTCGTCATATACCCCGCATAACCTGTTGCACTTTAATCATTCATACGAGTATGTGATTTGTCATTTTGTACTTCAACTGCATTAATTTTCCATCAACGTATAGACATGGGCTCAAAGTTCTACTATGCTAATGCAGGCAAGTACCCAAAAAAATTGTTAGAATCAATTTCTGTGTTTAGCTCCCAACGGGGAAAGTAGTAAACTCTGCTCATTCTTGTTAGTCTATTATG